TTATTTTATAGTAGAAATAAATATTAATAATAAATTAATTTAATAATTATTATTTTATAATTAAAAATTTAAAAAAACCTGATTGTTGAAATTTGAAATATATTTTTTTATTTTTGAAATGGGTAAAAGTAAATACCTTATTTATGTATTCTTCCCAATAATTATTTAAGAAATCCATTTGTTTCTCATTCTGACTCCAACTCTTTCTCATGGTCTTATTCAATATATTTTGAAATAATTTTGATTTAATTTGAATTAACTTTCATGTAGAAATATTCAAATGCCTCTTAGGGGGCCTCAAGGAGGTCATCAAAATCAGGCCCACTTGACTTTTTAGCTAATTAACTTGGAGCTTTCTTGGAGATGAATGTACTTTTTCTTATAAAAAAGTAACTTGTTTTTAATAGAAAACATCTACTTTTTTTTAATAAATTTTTTTCTTATTATTGTTGATATGCATACATACAAATTACACACAACATATATAACACATTATTTTATGTAAATTATGATGCATGCATATATCTCTAAGCAATATATCAAATATAATAAAATATTACGTCTCTGTTTGTGGCATATTTTCAATCCAAAAGAACGAAAAAATGGACCGTTGGTGTACCTTTTTTAGCCCTTTTTTTACCTCTCTCTCACAAGGTGGGGCCCACTAGCAGTACAAATGGTCATATTTTTTCTATTTAGGAGGTGAAGAATGAGCTTCAAACAGGGGCTAAGTACTAATATTGTTCCAAATTTCCAAAATATGAATGGAGGGAGAGAAATCTCATATAAAGATTTGGAGATGTATAAATTATATTAAGTTTGGTACATATTAAAATCATATTTTTAACAAAGTTTAATAGTTTGAAAATCGAGTATTTTATTAAAATATTCATTCAAATGACAAATTCAATCGATTTTCCCGACACGTCCCGAGTAACTTATTTTGAAACATTTTATATTAAGGGTATTTTAGGTAGTTTATATGTTTGAATAGTGAAATGGGTTAGTTTGGGGTTGGTTTGGAATTTTGGCTTTGAATTTGGGTCATTTAGTGGTATATCCCACTTTTTAGCTAATTAACTTGGAGCTTTCTTGGAGATGAATGTACTTTTTCTTATAAAAAAAGTAACTTTTTTTAATAGAAAACATCTACTTTTTTTGATAAATTTTTTTCTTATTATTGTTGATATGCATACATACAAATTACCCACAACATATATAACACATTATTTTATGTAAATTATGATGCATGCATATATCTCTAAGCAATATATGAAATATAATAAAATATTCAGCCTCTGTTTGGGGCATATTTTCAACCCAAAAGAATGAAAAAATGGACCGTTAGTGTATCCTTTTTAGCCCTTTTTTTTACATCTTTCACACAAGGTGGGGCCCACTAGCAGTACAAACGGTCATATTTTTTCTATTTAGGAGGTGAAGAATAAGCTTCAGACAGGGACTAAGTACTAATATTGTTCCAAATTTCCAAAATATGAATGGAGGGAGAGAAATCTCATATAAAGATTTGGAGATGTATAAATTATATTAAGTTTGGCACATATTAAAATCATATTTTTAACAAAGTTTAATAGTTTGAAAATCGAGTATTTTATTAAAATATTCATTCAAATGACAAATTCGATCGATTTTCCCGACACGTCCCGAGAAATACATTTCGCCATTCCAACTTTGACCTTGAAAGACTAGGGGGGTAAAAGTTGATATATCAGGGATAATTTGGTCATTGAGATGAAAATTGTTTAGAGGGATAAAAGTCAAAAAGTCGAAAGTCCCATTATTTATTTGTCAATTAACTTTAAATTATTCGTTATGGTATCCACGAAATTGCGCCAAAAAAAATCAATTTTCCTAAAGAACCCCTCTTCAAACAGGGACTAAGTAACAAAATAGATAATCCAATTTACAACTACTGCAAATAAAAATTAATAAATAAATAATAAGTAATGAGAGAAAAATAAGAGGCAGTTGTACTTTCGATAGCATTTACAGTAGAGTGTCGGGGAATGAAACAAATTCCACATTGACTTTTTAGTAACGGTATTAACTACCAGATGCATTGTTCCCAAACCAAATAGGATTGTGGGGTCGAGGAATCTCATGAAGTGTTCGATCAAGAATAGTTAGATAAAAACCGCATTTAATTTTGCTAAAAATTATATTTTTAAAAAATTTAAAAGTTAATAAAAGTTTTGGGCTGTGTAAAATGTGTGATTAGAATAAAGATCCGAACGCCTTCTAGAGTGTTTGATAAATTGCAATCTCGTTATAATTTAAAAGTGAAAGTCATATTTCAAGTTACGTTCAAGGGAACATGATAAAGAAAGGAACAAGAAACGTTAGTACAATAAACGAGCACAAGTGTTAAACCCCACTGTTATAGAACAATGTCATGGGAAATTTAGTCAAAGATGTCACATGTAAATGTTGTTGGAAATGGTTGTATTTTGTAATAATTTTAAGTGGGATCCACGTGACTACATCACTTCTTAGAGGATAATCCTCGATGGCCAAAGCATGTGCCAACAATTTGTATATACTATGGTGGTCAATCCGAAATTCAAAGGTTATATATAATAATAAATCTAGACATATACATCCTAGATATAATACCATAAGAGTAATCTCAATTGAAGTTATTTCTGTTGACCGTGTAAACTCAAAGGATAGCCTTGTGAATTCGCTGAACAAATGGTTACTAGAGAGTTAATTGAAAAATAATCGAGATGATTGAACCTTAAAAACCTTGATAGGATGAGTTGATACAATGAATATTAAAACCCATAAGAGAAATGGATAGAAATAGGCTTAAATGATTCTTATACGTCAGAATTCAAGTGGAGTATAGCGGGTTAGCGGGTTACCCTTTATTAAAAAATTACCCATGTGAGAGAAAGTCATACCACTTCTAAGGGAATTGTGTGAGAGCTCTTTTCTAAGAAACTCTCGCAAAATAAAGCGTATGTTCATGGCCACAATGATCATAACAATGAGAACTGACTAGCAAAAAAATGTATGTTAGTTATATCATTGTTTACATAAATGGTAGAAATAGTTCAAACACATTGAGCATACTAGTGAGCTAGTAAATTTAATATACTTTTACAACTGAATGTTCAAATGATAATGTCTACCTATCCTATGTAAGTTTTGATCTATAAACTTTATCACCAAGTCTTTACATTTTTCATGATCTCTTCGAATTTTCATTCATATGGGAGATTAATAGAAAATGTGAATTTTGGAATAAATTTGAGTAGGATCCACTTCTATTTGAAAGATTTAAGTAGATATGTATCCTCCTCTAAGAGAGCATCGAAATTGTATATTGACATGATCAAAATGGTGCTCAAGTGAATAAGAAATTGAAGTTCAAAGTATAATAATTGAAGTTGACAAAATGTTAAAGGGAAAGCTAAAGAAACTTGTCCCACATCTAAAAAATAATAAGAGTAACACTTGTTTATGTAGAGTCTTTCAAAAAGATTAAGTTTGTGTAGCATAGACGCTCTCCGCGATCAAGCACGGATCTCCGCGATCAAGCACGGAGTACAAATAACTGATCGAAGCAACACCTCAAGTAATTGGACTCGCGTGCAAGCTTGGCATGCAAACAAGAATGCCAAGTTGAAGCTTGGGTCCTTAGTAGGGTTCCATCATTGTATACGTGTAATTCTCTTTAACAACTTAAAATTTTACATTTAAATGATTTAACAAGGTATCAAAATAGGCAAATGTTTTAGATTTAAGCCTCGTCGCCATTCATTCAATATTATGCACTTGTTAGACTTTGCTGCAAAATGAAACTCTTTTGCGCATTATGAAGCATGTTAAAGACGATATTTAAATCATATAACTGTGATACAACTTAAGTTTTTACATTAAGTGTTTCACCAATATTATAGAGCTTAGAAACTCGAGTAGGGGATCTCGTAATATTTGGTCCTTGTATATTTTTTATTTTTCTATGTTCCTCTTAGTATTAGACTTCAACAATTAAGCGAAATTTTAGCTTCTTCTTTCTTAATATTATTTCTAATAAACTTTACCAAATACGTCACAAAGTAATTTTGTTTGTAATTTGCATATGAACGGCATGAAATTTCAACTTTAACTTATTGTCTTTTGAGTGATTTTCAACCAAAAATCTACCTAAAGCCGGTTGGTCCAAACCATCCTCTGAATTTACCTCTGCAAGGTCATTCTTTGTTTCTAAGTGCCATTTCTAATTCTTTTGCATACTGATTTTTGAAAATTTAACAAAACTTAGACTCGACATGATTCAATAGGGTAATGTTCTCGTTAGTACACTCTGCGAACTGTATAATTCTTGATTAATCTTGAACAGTAAACTCGACTCGATAAATAGGGGAAATTAAATAGATAGGACCCAGTTGATGACCAATAAAAATGGAGGGATGGGTTTGGAGACAGCATGCTTGGTAAGGTACATGGGAGAAAGGAATGGGGGCATGATATAAAAAAAAATGTTTCCTATGTTTACAACAAGGTTGTCTCATGGTTATAGCCAGCCATTACCTACATGTTTATTCCTTCAATCATCAATTTATTTTTACATGCTTCACCAATAAACTTACCCATACAAACTGTACACACTCTGTACATGTTACAGTGTCAAGTGTATTTATTTAAAATTGATTTATTCAAACGAGCAACTACGCTGCTAACTGTTAAAGGTAAATAACTAATATGTGAATTTGCTTAAATATATTACACAATCGAACAAAAGACTACACTTAACAATAGCTGACATTCTAAGATCAAAGATCAAGACTTGATAGTGTTTGGGTTGTGGTGGGGCTTCAAGAAGAAACATGTTTTTTGTGCTTTATATTAATTTTCAATTTTATCTAAATGTTGGGGACAACTTAGTCTTTTCAATTAATTCGACAGATTTTGTGTGAAACTCAAATTTCTGAGCTCAATAGAATCGAGTTTGAACAATTTTTTTATCGAACATGACATAACTTAGAAACCCAATAAACGTCCTACGTCCTACCTTTTGAGATAAGCAAATTCGATAATTAATTTCATCAAGAAATTTCACATTTGCAGTTATTCACACAAAAGTGCAAACCAACATATAAAAGAATAAAGAAGTGAATTGCTGAAAAAACAAATGTAAATTAAAGGACAAAATGGAAAATATAATAAGGTGGCCAGCACGTGCCAGTGATATAGTTTTTCCACGTGCAACAGCACTAATAAATACAACCCAATGTTATTGGTAAAGGACCAAAACCAAAGGTGGTGAAGAAAAAGGGTCTCACGCTTGATCATTGTATTCTTCTGAAATATACGTATTATATCTCTCTATACCTATACGTATATATACACACATACATATATATCTATACCTGTAATCTCTCTATATATTGGCTAGAGGGGTGTATCCAGGGGACCTATTAGAACCCAGATTCTTTCTTTTTGTAACAAAACATTAAGAGATGGAAACAAATATGTGAAGTCTAGAGTGAGAAAGAGAGAAAAAATGGAGAGAGAGCGTGAAGTGAAGGTATCAAAATTCAAGAGGATTTGTGTGTTTTGTGGGAGTAGCCAAGGCAAGAAGATTAGTTACCAAGAAGCTGCTATTGAGCTTGGCAAAGAATTGGTACTTATTTTGTTTTTCCTGCTTTTTTTATTTAGGTGGAGTGTATAATGTTAATATTGTGTTTGTTTTCACATGGGTTTTTGTAAAAACCTTGTATTTACATCTCAAATGTGTTCTTTTTTGCCACACGTTTTTCGAAAAGTTGCTTAAATGTAACTTCATGGCTTTTTGTACGCTCTTATTTGATCATACTTAAATGCCTGCTTTTCTCGAACATGACATTCAAGTCTTTACAAGTTTTTTGGGACGAATCTTGGAACTTTGTTCTTACGTATCTTTTTGTGATTTTCAAGGTTTCTAGGAACATTGATTTGGTCTATGGAGGAGGCAGCATAGGGCTTATGGGTTTAGTCTCACAAGCAGTTCATGATGGTGGTCGGCATGTTATTGGGTGAGTATCATTTACTTGTATTCTAATTTTATTTTGAGTTTTGGGGTCTGTTTTTATGGTTAATTTAATTTAGGTCTTCACTAAAAACTAACTTTTTGTCTTGTTATTGTCTCCTCTATAGGGTTATTCCCAAGACGCTCATGCCTCGAGAGGTATGGCTGCTATGGTTAAAAAAGTCTTGAGCCTTTTCTATTAAATTACTAATCTTTTTACTGCAACTTTTTTTTTTTTACTTGTCTTTTTCACGGTTTAATTTATTATTTAATTTAGTTTCTTCTCAAGGCATATTCTTGGTTGCGTTGCGTGATTCCTTCTTTTGTTCTTTTTATTTTCTCTGAATTCTTCATCACAAATATGGTTCTTTTTTCTTTCTAATTTTCTTTTGTTTGTTTTATTTCCTCTGGATTCTTGATCATAAAGATGTTTCCTCATGCTTCAAAGTAGCTCTACAAGGTATAGCTGAACTAAAAAAGCGATTTTTAAGTACGTTTGATTTTGACTCCTGAGGTCCTTGTTCCTGGTAAACCTTATCCATTGGAGAGAGCACTTAGGTGTCAGGTTTTTCACTCCAAGTCATGTATTTTGACCTTTTTGGAGTCTATATGTTTCATCCATTTGTAATTTTCTTACTGACCTTTTCCGTGATTCAGAATTCTTTACATATGTATTTGTATATATAGAACTGGTAGTATGTTTACCTCTGGCTCTGAAGGTACTAAATTTAAAGACTTTTGGATTAAGTCCACCATTTCTCCAACCCTCATTATTGCATCACTGAACTGCCCACTACTCAATGCATTTGAATTATCCCTCTCCACCACCCCTAAAAACAGCTTTATCAGCATTTTTGCTTAATGGGATTTGGTACCCTTTTGCAGTTAACTGGTGAAACTGTAGGGGAAGTGAAGGCAGTTGCAGATATGCACCAAAGGAAAGCTGAAATGGCTAGGCATTCTGATGCTTTTATTGCCTTACCAGGTTGGTTAAATGCCTGCACTAACCCCCTTTCTTTTGCACCAATGTTAAATATCGCATGTGAGGGACGTTTGGCGTGCTTTTTATAAGTCAAAAGTTGTTTCTGGAACTAAGAAGTTTTTAAACACGTTTAGTAACTTTTTGAAAGTGATTTATTTGGCTAGAAGCTTACGGTAGCTTCCTTAGAAAGATCTTCTAAACAAAGCAGAAGCAAAAACAAAAGCCAGTCAAACGGGCTCGAAAGATTTCTTGAGCTAAATGCTCATAGCTCTCAACTTTCAACATCTTGCACTGAAACTTAGGGCAATATAGTTCTCAGAAACCCTGTAGTGTGAATGATTCATTTCCTTTATTGCTTTCATATCTTCTGATGGTACTGCATCAAACTGCCTTACCATAAATGGGGATAAGGATAAACAGTCATAATATCACCAAATTGTTTATTCCCAACTTGCAGTTGTACCTACCAAAACATAATGCTCACTCCTTTCAATGCACAATTTTAATGTGTCATTTTACTGGTATGGTTGCATCTCATACTCACGGTACACCGTAAGAGAAATCATAACCAAAAGCCTTGCAGAGGATCATGCGGTGCCTATGAGAGAAGTGAACAGCAATTTGGGGAAATGGAAAAAGTCTGGGACCAGCTGGTTTTCACATTAGAAACAAACATGTCTGTCTAGCTAGGGTGAGATAGGATGTCATTATTCTTTCAGAAAATTGCACCATTTGTGCCCAACATATTTTTCAAATAATGAGTTGGTCATTGATGTTTTTCTAGCCTCTAATGACAGAAACCGTATAATTTTGATTTAATATCACATTAGAGGCACATGTTTACCCTCTTTTAAGGGTGCCACCACAAGGTGCTGGTGATGGGGGGTGGCGGGGGCTGTGGTTGGGTGAATCGAGTGTCTGTTTTAGGCTAGTGTAAACTTTTGCTGATATTTGATTAACTACAAAACCAGGGATGTTCTTTCTCATAATCTTAGCATGGCCATCCATTAATCGAGAAGTTGATTCTGTTTCCCTTTTTTTAGTTTATTTTAACTCGTAGAATTATTTGTTATAACTGTAATGTATCTCAAGTACAATTTATAAGTAATCATGAAAAAGCATGCAGGTGGTTATGGAACTCTAGAGGAATTACTTGAAGTGATAACCTGGGCTCAACTTGGTATTCATGATAAGCCGGTATTTCCTGATATCAATTTTTATATCTTCCAACCTCGTCTAAAGAATCTATCCTACAGCAACTTCCATAACTAAAAAGAAACAGCTAAAATATGCAACTTTTGCGCAAAAAAATTGAAAAAAAGAAGTACCTATTTCGCAGGTAGGCTTGCTGAATGTGGATGGGTACTACAATTCGTTACTGTCATTCATTGACAAAGCTGTAGAGGAAGGCTTCATTAGTCCAAATGCTCGCCACATAATTATATCTGCACCGACAGCACAGGAGCTGGTCAAGAAATTGGAGGTAATTTTCTTGAAGAGAGAACTTTCCCCTTATTTGGATAAATGCTGTACATAGCACAACCATCAGCATGTACCTAAGAATCCGAAGGCTGATCAATTGAACATGTGAAAAATAGTGCTGAACAGGGACCGTGTTCCCATTTTAGATTATTGGACAGAAAATTAAGGCCTAATTGTTAACACGTTTATGTTTTTTAGGAGTATGTTCCTAGCCACGAAAGAGTTGCGTCGAAACTGAACTGGGAGATGGAGCAGCTTGGCTACGCCCAAAATTATGATATATCCAGGTTAAAAATGGACTTGCAGCAGTGAAGAGATTATTAAACTAAAAGGAAATAAGGCACTGGAAGAAGCTGACTTTGAAATTATAAATTTTTGCTGTGGGGGAAATCTTTTTGAAAATTTCTCTGGGAATGACCTCACTATGTGATAGCTACTTATTTTCCTTCACATGAAAATTTGTTTCCTCTGTAACAACTACTAAATGGACTGTGTAATTCTCCAACTAATGACTTACTGTTTTGTCATGTCATGAGTTGATATACTCAGTTACAATATTACACTGTTATGTGTTAAACCATCTCCACTAAAAGGGTATCACAACAAGCAAAGATTCCAAGTTCAAGTCTCATTACCAATCATGTACAAAAAATTTACCCTCCTGTAACTTAGACGAGGTCTTCCGGGAAAACGTCTCAATTTCCTTGTTGAAGAAAGAGGTTGGTAATAATTATGGGCAACAGGCAGTGTAGGTAGGTATAATGGTAGGCTCGTCAAAATTGAGAACCCTGCAACCTACACGGATCAATGGGCCGAGTGTCCACAATGAAGAGTGATCATTTTCTGTTACAGACATGTTTCTCAACTAATTTTCTGATGCCTGTTTGCTGTTGAAGTTTGATCAGCAGACAACATTAATCCAACCAAAGACAGGTAACTAAATGGGGGGCCATTCTGGAGCAGATTATGGATAGAAACACAAGGACCAATTGATAATTCTTGGCCAGATTTGAATCAATAATTGTTTTGTCCATCTATGACATAATACAAGTTTGACACCGTTGATCCTAATCTATATACACCTAGATTTTTATGACTGTGGACCAAACTGCACCATTGATTTCAGGACCCAACAAGAGGAAAAGTTTACTCCGGCTCTTGCGTCGAGATATGATATGCAATGTGTGAGCGGAAATGTGACGTGTTGTGTTCTGCATCAGAAAAAAGAAAGGACAGAATGATAGCCAGCCATAATACTGATTTCAATTTCACCATTTGGTTTTTGAAAGAGGAGTCTAATCGGTTTGGCTTTTGAATCTGAAAAGCATTAAGGAATATGCTTTTGAATGATGTTGACACATGGGAGGAGCAGCCACTCATTGTTACACCTCTTACTTTTTTCTATGCTCAAAGTGTTTTCTAGTGACGAAGAAAATAATGAATAACTTGTAAGTATACTCGTATTGTAATTCGAAATGTGTGCGTGTGTTTTTTTGACACGTACTTGCACATATCAGTCCAACAACTAAAATCTGGTGGCAATCTTCGTGTTTCTCTGATATCCCTAAAACTTAATATACTTGAAGGCCTGAGAATCATGTACTTGTGAGGATGAAAAGGATTATTTTGCTGATGTTGATAGCCTGAGAAAAGACTCGTGGAGAAAAACTCTAGTGATGCATAGTGAATAGTGATAGACTCTAGTTCTACATTCACCACTTATTAATGGCATTTTGTGTCGGATTATACCAATAACAAAACTGATTTTTTGTAGTAGTTATCTCAACCTATCAATAAAGATTAGAGAGCGGAGAATCTTGCTGCACATTCAAAAGTGGACGGCCACAAAATGCAGAAATCTTCTAGTTTAAAAAAAATGATCATGTTAATCACCAAGAAATTGAACCATCACCAGACTGATAAACAAGAACGTGTGGCCTAAAAATGAACCGATTAAATAGAATCAGTACATATAAGCTTTACCTTTCTCCATTTTCATGATGTTGGAATCCATTGACACATGGTTTGCTGTGATGACTTAGCATTGATGTAGTGTGAATTTCTCCTCCAAAATATATTCCAGCTTCTCCGTCTTAACCAGTTTCTGGAACTCCTCGTCTCAATTGAACCTGAGAACTTTTTGCCTTTCATTCTCTTTATAAGGTCGATTCTTTAGTAGAAACCGAGTCGAGAATTTATTCCAAAAGAGTAAGGTTAACAAAACATGCTCTAAATCTTGATAAATTTGAATTACGCTTCCATACAAAGCATTTTTTGTAGTTCTATTCAATTGATTGCTTGATCTACAGAAAGATTCATAGCACCACAACCGTAGAAAGTAGAAACTACAAAAAGCCATGTTATTCTTAGTCTACACAAAATGCCTCCGAAAATCATATCTACATTCCCTCTTCCAAATTCCCAGCCGAAGGAATATTTAAAAAAAATGTTTTTTTCCAAATATTGGCCTGTAAATAAATTTAAAAATTCCTAAATATACCCAAAGATTTTTTGGACATGGGGCATCATAAAAAATAAAAAACAAACCATACAATTCTTTTAACATGTACATCATAATCAAGTCTAAGCCTCTAAGGCCACGTAATTGAAGCACATATTTAACAGATCTCAGGCAGAATAAATATTGTTTTGAACTTCGGAAAATAATAAACTCAGTATGTTCTACAAGCACAAAATTCACTGATATAGACAGGAGGGCATCTATATCTCCTTCGTTGATCTATGAAAGGAAGAAACATCCAGAAAGCAGAAGTCGGTAGTGCATTTCTTTCTTGCTACCGGGATGCCAACGACCAAAAGTTCAAAAGAAAAGATGGAGAGACGGCAAACCAGCTCAGAAAAGCCATGGAAGTAGCTGACATAAATCTTGTGCAGTGGTTAACATTACATTTATCCAGATCATTGCCAATTAGGACAGTGATACCAGCAGAAGCACAGGCAGCAGCAAATGTTAGAGTCGAAGTAACCTGCAAGACAATGGAAAGATCTTTCTAAGCATCTTGCCTAGGAAAAATATGGTGAAAGGGTATACATTGATGATGGCATGAGATTTGCACCTCATCAAATCATGCTCTTTCATATGTAACTAACAAATTGAGTGTTTGTATGTTGGAAATAAAGATTATAGCAGTCGTAATGGTATGCTGCTAAATGGTTGAGAGTGCATTCAAACTGATTGTCAAAGATATCAACACAGTATACCAAAAAAAGATAAAAGTTGAAAGGCGGGATACAGATATGATGCCCCCGATAGAGAGTTTAGAAAATACATTATAGAATTTATGAAATTCAAATTTTAGAGTCATTGCAAGAACAATTCAACGTTTCTCCTTCTCACAGAAGATGTAACAAAAACAGCAGAATTTGTGAAATCTTTGTCATTGCAACAATTTTGTTAACTCAGCTTCTGCAGAAGATCATGAAAAGTTGAATTGCAGTTATAATATTTATCGTCATCATACAACAATTCACAAAAATGCAATCATCAAATGATGCCCCGAAGATCTAAAGATCGAAAAAATAAAAATTGCAATACTAAGGTATCAAAAATTGCAAGGGAAATTAAACAGAAGAATAGGATCCCACCCATCTGTTCAAGTTTAAAATTGTAAAATGAATATTACTAATGGGATATTAAAGTATCAAAATATCCCAATTTAAATGATATTCAAGGTAGAAGCATTATTCATATCTAGCATACGAGTGTCAATCAAACGATAAAGGCTCCTGGAAACTCAACCCACTGACCTTCCCTGAATCAACGAGAGTCACATAATTTTTTTCCATGGCATTAATTACTTGTGGGAAAATAGTCAAGCAAGTGGCATTTTCACATAGATATTGATCATATCTTTTCCATAAATACATGGCAACATCACGCCATATCAAAAAGAGCATTGCATCTGAGAGTTTCAACAGTCTAGTTATACAAGTTTTTCTTACCCCATCACCAATGGCAAATAAACTGACAACTCCAACATGTCTAAAACTTCGTCTAACTGAAAGACAATATATGTCAGCAATTGCAAGTGACAGGCTCCAAAAGCTTTGCAAACCAACTGCAGCAACAAGATAGCTGATACACACAGCAAGAAGATCTAGTCATAATCACTTCTCCGAAGACACAAACTTAACATGCCATTTTAAAGATTTAGTATACCTGACAACCGAAAATAAATATATAGACAGCAATTATTATTAAATTCTCCGTACTTGCATAATATTTTAAATAAGCTGAACTGCATCTACCCTGACATGGAATTACCTACTGGTTCTTTATTCTACAAAGAACTGTATTTCAGAAACAGACGTCCGTGATTATTTTCTCCTATTCTCCGACAGGTATAGAAAAAATTTATCAGTATGCTTGCCTCCCCTATCTGGGAAGGATCAGCACAAACAGTTAGCAAATATGAGTACATGACTATTACAACATAGCCCGTGCATGCACGCATGTATTCCACATACGCAGTCTAAAGAAACTTGTACTACTGCAGGAAATCGCAATAAAGTGAAATGTCCATTAGCACTGATTAGATAATATAATTTAATTGACCACTTCAGCAAACCCCTATTTCCATTAAAAAAAAACAATATACATCGTAGCAGTTGAATTCAACTGATTCGATCATTTCAAGCATACGATTATACAAACAAATGCGATATACGTGAATGCAAGTAACCGAGTCTAAAAGTGGAAGAAGAATGGATTGTAAAAAACGATGGATAAAACTAACCAAAATGCAGTAACAGAGGGGAAATCCGAGGTGGTGGTCATGACGCAGAGAGAGACGACAGCGAAAACGAACTGGCAGAGGCGGAGGAAGAGGCCACCGGTGGTGCCGGGCATGCCCTGGAAGTCCTTCATCCTCACTCTAGGCGCCTCTAGCGTCATCGGTGCAGCCTCCACTGGGTGCACAGCCGGCCGGCTCATTTTCTTATTCTAACCCACGGAATCAAGAGGTCGGCAGAGGAGCTGAGAGCCGGTGAAAATCTTTTGTGATGTGGGAAGGTAAAGGTAAAGACGGAGTTGATTTCACCGATGGTCAGTGAGGTTTAAGAAACACTTCATATGGGTCCTTGAAGTATTGTTATGATCTATTTAGTCATTAAAGTTACAGATTTGGTCACTCCTTCAGTAACATCCACCCCAAATCCGATATTGGCCTATTAAACCTTGATATTGACTTGGAACCATCGTGTTCATATTGTGCTATTACAAATCTTCAAAATAAAACACGATTTGTTAGAGAAAAAACCTCACATTCAACAAAATTATTTTTTATCTTGAATAATTCGTGAAAAGGTCGTGAAGGACTAAAATATGAGGCTAGCTTGAAGGAATAGATCACTTTAATTGTTGTTAGTTTAAGTTAGAGGTGACAATTGGATGAGTTGAGCCGGTTTGGCCCGTATGCAAACGAGCTCGGCTCGTGGCTCGTTTATAATGAGTCAAACTTCTGCTCGGCCAGTGAGCTAGTGGGCCGGGCCGAGCTTCTGCCCGAGAGCTTGTCATATATATATAAGCTTCGCCTTGGACGATCCCACAAGACTGGCTTGTGGGCAAGCTAACGAGTCGCTCATCTAGCGAGTCAGCCTGCTCTGCTCGTACTCGACAAGCCCGACTTTTCACGAACCGAGCCGACGAGCTGCTCGACCCATTTGCCATCGCTAGTTTAAGTAGAAAAATACAACTATTACATCAGATATGATGATAATCAGACTCGTGAAATGCTCATTGATGATAATATTTGACAACTGACTAAATGCGTCACAATAATACTTAAGCACGCATTTGAAATTACAAATTTCTAAAGATATTTAACTTTTAAAAATAGTCAATTATGGGCATGTTCGGTACGATTCAAAATCCAATTAAAATTGAAAATATAGCCGTTATTTGGTCTCACTCATCTAATAAAAGTCAACAATAACGACTAATATTTCAATTTTAATCCGATTTTAATCTCTACCAAACACTCTCTATATTTTATAGCTTTATTCTTCGGTTGTCTTTCACTCTCTATTTCAAGATTCGAACTGTGCTATTTTTATCTGAGGAAATTAAATAACTATAGGATAACACCAAAAGTATATTGTAAGATTTTAATTAAGGTTAGATAAAGAATTTCTAAGTCAACAATAACCACTAGTTTTTCAATTTTAATCCGATTTTAATCTCTACCAAACACCCTCTATATTTTATAGCGTTATTCTTCGGTTGTCTTTCACTCTCTATTTCAAGATTCGAACTGTGCTATTTTTATCTGAGGAAATTAAATAACTATAGGATAACACCAAAAGTATATTGTAAGATTTTAATTAAGGTTAGATAAAGAATTTCGAAGCGACTAGATGTAGTATTATTTTATTGTTTTAAATATTTTGGTAATAAAATTCAGCTTTAAATTTGAGGCATTACAACTTTTTTATTCACACATACAACACCAACACTTCCAAAACTGAAAAAAATCCACAAACCCAATCAGCAGCCCACGATCGTCGAACCCACCACCACCCAATTGCTCCGGCTTCCTCACGTCAACAATGTCAGCCTGACAATGTCAAATGCTGTCGGCTGTCAGAATCATAGTAATCGCCTTTGAGATCTAAAAGCACATCCTGGTATGGGAGTCTGGAGTGCTTCTTCTTTGTGTTGAGATTTTGGTCTAATTTTTATTTTTATGGGAGAAGAATTGGGTTTCCGCCATTGCTATTGTTTTTTGTTTTCGTGGAAGAAGGATTTGTTGTAACGTAAAAATAAAGTTTTAACCTTTCAATATTTAAACCATTTAATTTTCTGATTTTTGATTTAATCATCATTCTTAACACAAATTAAATATATCATAATTCATATTATAACTTAGCCCCTATTTGGCCCCCATTTTTTGGGGTTGAAAATTTGTAAAATAGTGATTGATGAGAAAATGTGTGGTGGAAAAGTTTTAAATTTGTGTGTAATATTATTTTATTTGAGAATGTGTGGTTGAGATAAAGAGAGAAAAAATTAATGTAATGAAGTAAGAAAAAATGGGGCTCAAACGGGAGCTTATATTTTAATGGTTTAATTGTGGGGGTCGACACTCACCTATAAAAGGTGGTGATATATCATTGAAAAATAGAACTAGAATACAAGTATACAACAACTTGAAATATTATTCTTTGGATTATCAGTGGCGGACGCAGACCTTAAAAGTTAGGGGAGACACAATCGAACTTACAAAGAAATTGGGAAAAATTTTATAATCGAAAATTTATATCCAAAAAAATCACACCCCATGTAATTTTGCATCCAAAAATTTACACGGGATATGACTTTTTTGGATGTAAAATTTTAAAAAAAAAAAATTATGTCATATTCCATATAAAATTTCCTAATTAAATGGAGTATTCGATATGCCTATAATGTAGTTCTCGAAATAAGTTTTGAGATGACATAAGCAATTTGTAGATTCGATTAGCGTACGATCGTCGGAGAATTTTTAAAATTAGCATGTTATCGAAATTCAAATTTATTTTGATTTTGCCCATGTTTGGTGGAGATTAAAATCAAATTTTTAGTAAATTTCAATAAAAGTTAAACAGTTATGGATTTCATTAAATATGTTATTAAAATCAATTGTTAACTTTGATTTAGATTAAAAATTAAATTTCAATCGATACCAAACACGATTTTATAAAATAAAAAAAATTTAAAAAAATCTCAAAAGTTGAGGGCACTTCCCCCCAGCCCCGGCGACCCTCCCTAGGTCCGCCCATGTGGATTATGCTACTTATCCATAAAAATGGTATATAAAGAATTACATAAAATGATGTGGAAAGAAAAGATTGGATGAAAAAGTTGCCTGTGTTTCAAACTAACAAATGATGGAGTGTCGTGTGGCGTTATATAATCTTTTGTGTACACATTTATGCACATGTAGCAAAATCATTATTATCCCTACAATTTTATACTATGTTATTTTGGCAACTGAATTAGAGACTCGTTTTTTATATCTCTGTGATTGTGTGCATAATAGGAGAATTGAGTGAGCCACATGAATTTTATCTTGGAGTCGTGTAGTGACGAAAATACTTACACGAAAGGGAAGCAACACGATTTTATGACAACATCCTTAACGTGACTATGTAAGACTTGTTTTCTTTCCGACTCTTCTCATTTCTATATATGTTATTATTATTGAATTATATTTATTATATTAATTCTTCTTATATTTATTTGATGTTGAACTATATGTTTATATTATTCAAATTGTCATGTTAATTGATAAATATCTACATACAAATCACTCATTTTCTCCATCAGGATTGAGTCCTCATATGCGTCATCTCGAAGTTCCAACAATCAATAACACACCAAAACATCATTTAAAACGATTATTGCAATGTTCTTTCCCGTTACAATTTTATGAATTGGAATTGATAATTCGAATAAGGAGGAGCATTAATTTGAATGATTCGATTCAAACAATTCGAAGTCTAGAACATCAATATCACCAAAGATTCAATTCAAACAATTCTTGCTAACGATCTTTCCATTTACAATTCAAGAATTGGGAATCGATAGTTGATGATAGTAGGTGTATGTCCTAAAATTCACTTGAAAATATGACTTCAATTATCTGCCACAAGAAGGTAATCGTCACCCTTCAAAATTATCAATTCTTATGAGAGATTCTTGACAAATTTTGAGTAATGTGAGTTTTATGTATAACCAATTGATTAGTCCCACTCTGTTTTTTTTCGTAATCTCAATTGACTCTTCGAATTTTAGAAATCAGGGTGGGTCACTACCAATCGATAATGAAATCGTAACAAATTCAAACATATCTCAACCTGTTTGGTGGTGATTAAAATCAAATTTTTAGTACATTTAGATAAAAGTGAATGAAATGCGTGGTTGAAAAATTGTGGTCCATAAAATATGTGGTTAAATTAATTGTTGACTTTGACTTAAATTAAAATCAAGATTTAAATATGTACCAAACCTGGACTTAGTTATTATTGCATAATTAATTCTTAATGACCAAAATAATTCACATCTTATTTTGAACTTAATGAAACTAAATTTTACTTTATTACAAAGGTCATGCTTGTGAATAAAATGAGGCATGGTTTCACAAGGACCACGCTATAATTTAAGAAATATTGGACCATTTTCACCATCGGGGACCAATCGTGCAATTGTGATGAAAATTTGTGAATTAATTTACGCAATAAAAAATATCGGCGAGTAACTTGGCAATAGAAAATCAACTGTGCTATAGGTACATGAATTTGAATTCTTGTACCCGACAGATTACACAAAGCAGTGGGTATGGTGGGGGGTTTTGCCAATATTTTAATTACATGAGGTCCACCCCCATGTGAGTGAAATTAAAAATATTGTATCAATTATGCGCATTATTCTCTGTACTCACAGCATTATTCATAGAAAATAGACTAAAGACTATCGACTAATAGTAAAATTTTCCCTTTCTTTAATGCAAACAAACAAACAAAAAAAAAGAAAAAAATAGATGGAACGAGCATATCTTTCATTCAACTTCGTGTTTAAGGGTGTGTTTGGTTGGCCCATTGTTTTCTTACCTGCCAACGGAATAAATCAGAAAGTTTATTATTTTCCATTTTCTTACCTACCAACGGAATAAATCCAAAAATCCATGTTTTCTTTTCTACGACAATCTACATTTTTATTTAGCTTTCACTTTCTAAAATTCATCTTATAGAACTCGCAACTTTTATTAATATTTCAACGATATAGTTCATCGATTTATATGATTTTTGAATAGTGATATGATGGGAAATGTGTGGTTGAAAAAGAAGAAAAAAGTATTGATGTGATGGAAAATATTATTTTATTGAAGAATGTGTGGTTGAAAATGAGAATTGATTTACTGTAGAAAATGAAAAGCTGTACCAAACAGGCCCTTAATGAAACTAAATTTTACTTTATTACAAAGGTCATGCTTGTGAATATAAAATGAGGCATGGTTTCACAAGGACCACGCTATAATTTAAGAAATATTGGACCATTTTCACCATCGGGGACCAATCGTGCAATTGTGATGAAAATTTGTGAAATAATTTACACAATCAAAAATATTGGGGAGTAACTTGGCAATAGAAAATCAACTGTGCGATAGGTACATGAATTTGAATTCCTGTACCCGACAGATTACACAAAACAGTGGGTATGGTGGGGATTTTTGCCAATATTTTAATTACATGAGGTCCACCCCCATGTGAGTGAAATTAATAATATTGTATCAATTATGCGTATTATTCCTTGTACTCACAGCATTATTCATAGAAAATAGACTAAAGACTATCGACTAATAGTAAAATTTTCCCTTTCTTTAATGCAAACAAACAAAAAAAAGAAAAAAATAGATGGAACAAGCATATCTTTCATTCAACTTCGTGTTTAAGGGTGTGTTTGGTTGGCCCATTGTTTTCTTACCTACCAACGGAATAAATCAGAAAGTTTATTATTTTCCATTTTCTTACCTACCAAAGGAATAAATCCAAAAATCCATGTTTTCTTTTCTACGACAATCTACATTTTTATTTAGCTTTCACTTTCTAAAATTCATCTTATAGAACTCGCAACTTTTATTAATATTTCAACGATATAGTTCATCGATTTATATCAAAATCTACTAATTTTTTCTTTTTTATTTTTAGCACAACCAAACAGGGATTAAGATGATCTTCTGAATACTTGAAATTTAGAATTACATTACATCCATAATTGATGATCCTCAGCATCAAAATCGATCAAAAAAAGCACCCAAAATCAGAGGATTAAGATAGGAAAATCTACATAATTATTAGAAATAATTGATTAATTAATCTTCAAATCCAGTTTGCTTCCATATAGCATTCCTCACCCGACTCAAGTCTCGTCCCTTTAATGTCCTTCCTACCCCTTCATGCACCGAGAACGAAGCAACTCTAGTCCTGGCTAAATACTCATGAGGGGGTATTCTGTCATTTTCATCTACTTCGACATCATCCTCCCAATCTCTGCTGTGAGTTCTGTGCTCATCGCGAAGAATTTTCGACCAGTCGGGTACGTTTACGGGCAGAGATTTCGATTCAACTTGGGTTGTAATTTTTCCATGAGATTTTCCAAGGGGAAGCGGATTTGAAATCGATTTTTTGGTTTCAGGTGGATTACTGATTTCATCGGTACTCCAAATCTGAGATTCGTCGAACTCGATCGGCTGTATTCTCTCTCCTGCTCCAAGAAATCGATAGCTCTTTCCTGACGCCATTGAAATTTTTGCACAGAAGTGAGAAATATTGGGATGCTTTTGCATGGGTTTATATAATTGGGGGGAAATGGATAAGCTTGGTTCAATTTAATTTTTGTACAAAAATAGAAGTTACAATAAATTATTTACACTTATATATTTAATTCGAGTTGGATAAGGATTCAAAGTGGCACCCTCTTGACCCGAGAGTTGTGGTGGCTCGCATCGAACGTACTTTCTCTTCTCATATGACACGATAAGATCGTCAGGAGCTAGATGTATGCATATATTATCGAATAGTGCACTGATGATTTCGTCATATGCAGACACTGTGAAGCATTCTACTCATAAGTGTGTACGATTGCTTCGAGCTTATCGAGTTAAGCAAGGAAAGAACGCTGCCCGAAGCCCGAAGCACAGTGCCTCGGGCATCACGCTGGTGGTCCATGGTACATGGGCAATCCAGACCCAATTATTTTTTTCATAAGTAAAAATAAGAAACTTTGTTCTCTTCTAATTCCACTCCTGATGATGAAGTTGCCTATGGTCGACTATAGCGGATCAAACTTTATTTTTCAACTACTGAAATAATTTCAGTCAATAAAAAATATTAAATTGGATAACAAAGACGTTATCTGCCTAGCGAGTCATAAATACGTGGAACAATTAGAGAGGGCCTCGTAACTACGACTTATGCAAATTTAAGATTTTTAGCGTACCAATAAAATGTCATAACGAGGTGTTGGGTCCCACCAGTCCATCACCGTCAAAAGTAAAAATCAATATGCTGTTATGGCGACACGTCACAGCAGGAATTTCAATAATCTTGATGCGTAATTTTGAACGAATCTGTCGTGTTATTTTTAGGAAATTGCTATTTGTACCGTCCTAATTGTGATAGGGTCACAGCCTCTTCACAAACGGTGGGGGCCGCCTCCTGAATGTGATTATTTTAAGAAAAATGTTATTCATCTCCATTAGGGATGCATCTTCAATCTATGTGAATGTAAATGATTGGTTAAATGATAAGTGAAATTAAATGACTTATTTAATTTCACCTATCATTTAATGCCACATTAACGCCACATAGATTGAGGATGCATCCCCAGTGGGGATGAATATCATTTCTCTTATTTTAATCGTGGGCCCTGCCTCTAAATGTGAGAGAGTTGTGACCCGAACCGGATTGTGGTTGTAGGCAGAGCCCTTTTTTTTATGCACATAAATGGATAAATTAAGAAAGATAAACGTGATTAGGCATTGCTCGTTGGATTAAAAATCAGATTTTTTTGATAAAATTTAATAAAATATATGATTGAAAAATTGTAGGTCCGATAAAATGTGTTTTCAAAATTAGTCGTTAACTTTTAATTATATTAAAATTTGGATTTTAATTTTTACAGAATATGGGCTAAGTTTGTGGTTAAAAAATAAGGAAATTTTTTGAATGTGTGTATAATATTATTTTACTGATGAATGTGTAATTGAAAAGAAGAGAGAAAAATATATTTTGAAAATAATGAGATCAAATAAGGGCTTTTTTTTTAATACTATCCGTTAAAAATAGTGAAAATTCCCTAATTTCCTACATTTGGAGATCCAAATTCTAAAATCAGATTTTATGTTTTACTTTTCAAAAATCAGATATTTAATATATAGATACAGATTTTTTTATATTTAATTAAATATTAATAATAATATTATAAAAATTAATTTATATACACCCACTACCCCTAAAATTAATTATCAAACCCTAACTCGCCCTGTCTCTCTCAAACCCAAACCGACGACGTCGTCGTCGCCGCCGCCTCCGCCTCACTCGCTGCAGTAACCCAATCGTCGGACCACCACTATTTCGACAACGATTTGTAGTGTCATCTCTTCTCCATCGCGGCGCAGTGGTTATGGCGACACCGCTGCGTGCAGTTGTAGGCAAAATGAGCTTAAAAACTGGTGCAAATCGTTGGTGGCATTGTAGGTCTGCTGGTGGCGTTGGGTTGTCTTCTAAAGGTGATGAGCGGGTTGGGTTGATCGTAGCTGTGCGAATCTGTGGTGGTGCTTGGGTATTAAAAGGTGCCTTGGTAAAACGGTTTCGACGAATCTGTGGTGTGAATCGTTGGTGACAGTGCAAATCTGTGGTGCAAATCGTGGTGCCGTAGGGAGGCCCTCACTAGATCCGAGCTGTTCATCAGAACGGCAGGACACGAACCTGCGATTGGTGTGAATCTGTGGTGGGTGGTGGTGGAGGCTCCGTTGGTGTTGATGGCAGTGGCATCGCGCGCTACAACAGTTTGTGTTTGTTGTTGTGGTTTTTGGTGATTTGTGGTGGTGCGTCGGTATTTCTTGGTGGTCTTGTGGTGGTGTTGACGGTGTTTTGTGGTGGGTGGTGGTGGAGGCGCCATTGGTGTTGATGTGGTTGTGATGGAGGCGATGGTAGTGGTCGTAGCAATAGTGCAGATGTGGTGGGGGTGGATCTGATCATTTTGGTTTTCTGTGACTAAAAATATAATCCGCGACCAACTATTCCGGTATCTGTGACCTAAAAATTATATAATCTGTGGCCGTAAAAAAATCCGTGACCAAATAATTGAAAATCTGTG